AAGAAAGGAGGAATAAGGTTTACAATCAATGGTCACTCCTATTTCAACTTGGTCCTGATCACCAATGTCGGCGGTGCAGGGGATGTCCATTCAGTGTCCATCAAGGGGTCTAAAACAGGGTGGCAACCCATGTCAAGGAACTGGGGCCAAAACTGGCAGAGCAATTCGTACCTCAATGGCCAGTCTCTCTCTTTTCAGGTCACCACCAGTGATGGAAGGACTGTAACCAGCAACAACGTCGTCCCGGCCAATTGGCAGTTTGGGCAAACATTCTCTGGGGGTCAATTTTAAGCTTCTAAGACAATCAAACGTGTTGAAATTTGTATATGGTATTTGAAAGTTGGACAGGGAGTGGCTTGGGGACTGTGGTTGGCTCTGTAGCTGTGGTTGCTAGTTAGCACCCGCTTAGACCTATATAATATGTAGCAGTGATTTGCATCAAACACAAAAATATTTGGGGTTGGTATAACCGACTCTAAATACTTAGGATAGGAAATTGTTGAGTTGAGTCTGAGATATTTGGTTGGTAGGCCATAAATAAAGGCCACAAGAATATCATATAAGGTCTGCAAATTTAACCCCCAGGTTGGGACAGCTTCATGTAACTGAAGTACACTTTTATCTATTGAATGTTTTTTTTCTAACTAAGAATTTTTGTATTTTACGTAGTAACTTCAAACACGATTATTTGATAGTAAATCTATAATGAAAAGATAAAAGCGGTTGTTTTCAAAGGTATTGTTGCCATAAAGCAATGTGGTTTCAGTTAAGTTTTAACGATTATGTAAAGTGCAAGGGTCTCCTAGCCTTGGACAGCCATAAAGCATCTCTCTCCTAATAGGTGAATGAACCCATGTGCAGATGTCATCTCCATGGACCTCTGTTTGGCTAAACATGGACGTCTATAGTTGTATTGATTTTACAATATTTAATGGAGCCGTATAACCCAAATGATGCGACAAAACTCAAATAAGCCCCAATGATGTGACAAAACTCAAATAATCCGTTAGGTATTGTTGGACCACCTTATTTTTTTATTTTTTTTTTATCAAAAAAAAAAAAGGGAGGGGCGATTGGTAGATAGTAACTCTTTATGAGCGTGACCATGAGTGTTTCTCCATTGTGAAATGTCCAGTTTGAATCATAACTACTAACTTGGAAGGGTAACTCGTCACCACAACACCACCAAAGTTCAGCAGTAAACTATGTTAATTCCGTAAATCAGATCTTGCTTGATAACCGTATGCGAATCAAAAACGACCCTAAACGGGTATNTGTAGCAGCAAAGTTATTTCATTTTGATTAGGACGAGTTCAATTCACGAAAAAAGCTTCTAGTTTGCTTATATTTGACTTCTCCTAGACTCTACAGTGACGAAAACCTTCTATGTTGCACTATTTTATTTTTTTTTTTTAAAAAGAAAAAACTGGAACCATACATTTTTTATTAATCAGATTGAAGAAATATTTGCCTTTTGTGGCTCAAATTGCCAATGCTGGTCAGAGGCATAAAAACATCAAAAGCTTATATACAAGTTAGATAGTTGATATGGACCTTTCTTTGCATGTTGAGGCTCAAATTGGCAATGATCAAGTTTATCTTGCATATGCATTGCTGCTCTCATCTCTGTTTAGGGGGAATGTTGAGGCTTTCAACTTAGATTGTTGAAGAGAGAGAGAGAGAGAGAGAGAGATGTCAATTTTACCTCTTAATATGAATAGGATATGGCATGAACAAAAAAAAAATGACAGAACCAATCATACGGATAGTAAATGGAAAGGGTTAATTACAGACACCAACAATAGAGATGGATACTATCATACTTTTTTGTACTGTATGACTTATTTTAGAGGAATAAAAATTCATTAACATGAATATTTACTCAATCTAGTCTCAAACCAAAAAAATGTGACTTTAGATGACACGATATGATGATGATATAGCACAACTCGACTGACGGTTCGTAGAGAAAACGATAAATATTGGTAATAGTAAGTAAATTTTTGAAGGGTCAAGTAAATTATTTAACTCTACCTTCTTATTATTCTCACACAGAAGAGACAAATTTGAAGATTTGGTAATAGAAGTGTAATTGATGCTAGGAAATGATGTTTTCAAATGTTCCATTTTTCTTTTCAAAAATCAAAGGAAGAAAGTTCCATCCGAGGCATCTTTTTTCTTCTCTTTTGTACTGCTTTTCCACTGGTCAATTCTCATTTTCTCTTTGGAAAAACCATTAATATACGGGGTTTTCTTTTTGTTAACGAGCAACCTCTCTAAGATATGGATACATTATATTCATTTTTACGAGAATAAATTTTAAATGCTTGCAATTATTCACAAATTATAGATATCTATTAAGTTCAGAAAACACTAACGAGAGTCGAATTCATAACGTCTGAGTCCATGGATTATGACGTTTTTCTTTAGCTTGGAAACAAATGTCTCCAAGATTAAGATTATGATATATGAATTAGGAGGGACTGCGATGTCTGGGGCTTGCATGTGCTCCCAACATGGTAGGCCCTTAATCAAGTTCTCCCCCGGCGGAGTGATAATCGGGACAAAAAGAAATATTATTGAATGAATATTGAGGCAAGAAACGACTTGTCAAAATTCTAAACGTTCGAAATATTGAAGTCAAAGTCTTCTTATTTTACTGAGATGACTAAAAACAGGAAATTGTGACCTAATCTATTACAATAAAAATAGATATCGCCAAGTGTTTAGAAAAGCAAACAAATTGATTTTCGAGTTTTATGTCATAAATTACACATATTTTAAACCGTTCCTAAAACGTTAGAGTCGCTTATTAGGAGGACCAAATGATGGAATTAGGCCGAAAAACAACTTAGGTCATGACACATAATTGATAGACCCAAAACGATGAAACTAGGAGATTCAAATGATGAAATTAGACCCAAAAACATTGGGTCATTACAAAACATGAGTATTGATTTTTGACCCGATCCATATAAACCGAACTCAATCATCCATTTTTTCTTGTACCATTACTTAGCCACTTTTTATTATGCTTTAAATGTACGATACTCTTCTCTCTCTCTCTCTCTAAATAACATGTTACCACATCCTACACTACGCCTCACATACCTTTTGTTTTTCTAGTAAACCTTGTTCTTGTTCTACCTAAAACATTACTTAATAAACCAATGTCATTGGAGATTGAATTTTAAATTAGTCTCGCACGTACTATTATTATATAACCCTTTTTTTTTTTTTTTGCCAAGAAAAAAGGAGGGCCGATGAGTAAGTAAGTAACCTCTGGGCATAACTATAAGAGTCTCTCTGCTATAAAATGTTGTCTAAGTCATAACTATTATATCAGAAGGGTAGTCTGTCATTATAGTACTATCAAAGTTAAACTGAAAATCACGTTACTTCTGTGAATTGAACCATACTTGATAATCATACGAGAGTCAGACACGATCCTAAACGGATAGGATTTACCGGTAGATGGCCAATTTGAGTGATTGTTATATAATCATAACTAAATATTTTTTTTAACCAAAACAAGTGTACTAAACGACATAATTTACCGACAATTGATTCTGTAAATTCCTATCCTCATTCCTCGGTCCCTATTTTTGTCTTGTACCTCTTCTTTGCAAGGTTAAAAAAAACATGGTCGGTGGCTTGGTGCTTATGCGTTGTAGGTTGGTTGGTTAAAACTCATATATAGCTTTGGTCTACCCATGCACATAGAGCCAAATTCAAAGGATCTCATACCTCCTAACATGGATTCCTAATTGCACTTGCCATCAAAATTTGACCAAAATCCTTGAAAAAGGAGCCATCCTGGACTGTCTTGCACCGAGATTCTACCTCTGTCGGTGTGTGTGTGTGTGTGTGAATTTGATGACACGAAACATGCCGTGTTTTGTGTGGAAAAAGTCGTGGAGTTAAATGATAGATAATCTTTATCTTTATTAGGGGGAAATTTGACGGTATCAAAAATTTTTTTTGGGTATTGGTACTACTGATTACTACTCTATATAGTAAAATTATAATTGTTCAATGGAGGTTATGGTTGATCACAAACACCTATTTTAATCATGTCTTTTAAAATAATAACTTACACCTCAAAAAAATTATATTTTAAATTTAAAAAATTTATAATTTTCGGTACCGGTACCGCACAAGTTCTCTTATTTGGGACATGCCAATTTCCCAAATTACAGTTACATTAAACTCAATTATGTCATAAGGAAACCAATGAGTCGGGCCAATATTGCGTGTTTAAATTGTTTTAAGTCATGTGTATATATAATCAGGTTTGTGTTGTTATAAGTTGTTTAATTGTGTCCGTAACATATGTAGTCATTTTCATGTCAACGTGTTTATTTGACAAGCAATGCTATATGAATTTAAAAATTAGACTTGATAATCTTAACCACTGATTTTACATTGGTTTATCATCGGAACTCACTAAATCTAAATTAGTTAAATTTTTTAATTCCACGTTGATTTCATGTCAATCCGGGTTAAGATCAACTACCAGCGGAACTTGCGGTTCTACAACTCCGATGATTAGTGGTTAATGCCAAGACAATGTCTCCATTCAAATAATTCAATCAATCAGTCAATTATTCACATTACCCATTAACGTAAGTACGAAGCAGAGAAAAAAAATTGCATGGTGGCATGCACATAGGAGAGAGAAAATCAAGGAGAAGAAGAGGTTGAAGAAATGCATGTGCATGGTGGGGTCTATGAGCTTAGCAATTGAGTAGTTCAGTTTGAACAACTGCATGTGCATATTGATGCTTTTACATGACCTGAAATAAAGGATTTTGTGGCTTTGCCTGCTCTCAGACCTCAGCATTGGCTAACTTGTCAATTTCTGCTATGCACTCTAAACCTCTATTTCCACTTCCTATATAAGGCCACGCCCACTCTCCTTCCTTGCATCAACCTCTCAGCACTCAATCTTCGCTCTTCCAATCTTTGTCTCAGACTTCTCTCTCTCTTTCTCACACACAATGGCTATTCCAGCAATCTCCATTGCTTCTCTTCTTTTCTTGTTCTTCAATTTGTGCCTTCGAGGCATCTATGGTGACTATGGAGGGTGGGAAAGTGCTCATGCTACTTTCTATGGTGGGGGAGATGCATCCGGGACAATGGGTACGTCAAATATCATTTATTCTTATATAAGGGTCATGTGTATTGGATCGTTTTTTTTTTTATTTGGACATGTAGCTTCACATTCTTATGTCAGTTATACTGTTAACTTTGATTGATTGAAAATAACTTTACACTGAATGACAGCCAATTAAAACTGGTATTGGTAATTGCAGGGGGTGCATGTGGGTATGGCAATTTGTACAGCCAAGGCTATGGGACCAACACTGCAGCACTAAGCACTGCTTTATTCAACAATGGCTTGAGCTGTGGATCGTGCTATGAGATGAAGTGTAATGATGACCCGAAATGGTGTCTCCCGGGCACCATTACTGTCACTGCCACAAACTTCTGCCCTCCAAACCCTGCCCAGCCAAGTGACAATGGTGGCTGGTGCAATCCACCCCGCCAGCACTTTGACATGGCTGAGCCTGCGTTCCTGCAAATTGCTCAATACCGAGCTGGAATTGTTCCTGTTTCCTTTCGAAGGTATGATCAAGTTTTAATGCTCTCCAATTACATTAAAAATTTGAGTGTAATTCACTTCCAATGACATTAAAATGTATCAAAGTTTGCTTCCAGTGTTTTGAGTCACATGTTTAAAGTACTATTACACAATAATTTTACTGTTGAATTGATTTGCTGATATTGTTTGTGTTGGTCTTGAAAGGGTGCCCTGTGTGAAGAAAGGAGGAATAAGGTTTACAATCAATGGTCACTCCTATTTCAACTTGGTCCTGATCACCAATGTCGGCGGTGCAGGGGATGTCCATTCAGTGTCCATCAAGGGGTCTAAAACAGGGTGGCAACCCATGTCAAGGAACTGGGGCCAAAACTGGCAGAGCAATTCGTACCTCAATGGCCAGTCTCTCTCTTTTCAGGTCACCACCAGTGATGGAAGGACTGTAACCAGCAACAACGTCGTCCCGGCCAATTGGCAGTTTGGGCAAACATTCTCTGGGGGTCAATTTTAAGCTTCTAAGACAATCAAACGTGTTGAAATTTGTATATGGTATTTGAAAGTTGGACAGGGAGTGGCTTGGGGACTGTGGTTGGCTCTGTAGCTGTGGTTGCTAGTTAGCACCCGCTTAGACCTATATAATATGTAGCAGTGATTTGCATCAAACACAAAAATATTTGGGGTTGGTATAACCGACTCTAAATACTTAGGATAGGAAATTGTTGAGTTGAGTCTGAGATATTTGGTTGGTAGGCCATAAATAAAGGCCACAAGAATATCATATAAGGTCTGCAAATTTAACCCCCAGGTTGGGACAGCTTCATGTAACTGAAGTACACTTTTATCTATTGAATGTTTTTTTTCTAACTAAGAATTTTTGTATTTTACGTAGTAACTTCAAACACGATTATTTGATAGTAAATCTATAATGAAAAGATAAAAGCGGTTGTTTTCAAAGGTATTGTTGCCATAAAGCAATGTGGTTTCAGTTAAGTTTTAACGATTATGTAAAGTGCAAGGGTCTCCTAGCCTTGGACAGCCATAAAGCATCTCTCTCCTAATAGGTGAATGAACCCATGTGCAGATGTCATCTCCATGGACCTCTGTTTGGCTAAACATGGACGTCTATAGTTGTATTGATTTTACAATATTTAATGGAGCCGTATAACCCAAATGATGCGACAAAACTCAAATAAGCCCCAATGATGTGACAAAACTCAAATAATCCGTTAGGTATTGTTGGACCACCTTATTTTTTTATTTTTTTTTTATCAAAAAAAAAAAAGGGAGGGGCGATTGGTAGATAGTAACTCTTTATGAGCGTGACCATGAGTGTTTCTCCATTGTGAAATGTCCAGTTTGAATCATAACTACTAACTTGGAAGGGTAACTCGTCACCACAACACCACCAAAGTTCAGCAGTAAACTATGTTAATTCCGTAAATCAGATCTTGCTTGATAACCGTATGCGAATCAAAAACGACCCTAAACGGGTATGACTTACAACTAGATCACCAACTTGGGTGATCCTTATTTATTAGTATTCGAAAACTTTCGAATCATTTGGGCTACAAATTTAATTCAAAATTTTGGTCATATTATCATTATTGTTTTCAAATATTAGGCGATCCCCATGATATTCTCTCAATGTACGTGAGGGTGTTAACATAATTTATTCAAAAAATAAAAGTAAAATATTTTTTCAAATTATGCAATTCACTAAGCTTGGGAGTCTCCAAAAACGTTCCCCAACCTCTATGGACATAGATAGGCCACATAAAATTAAAGCAACAAAATAACCTAGTGAGGTTTTTCATTTAAGAGGAAATTTGCCACCAAGAGAAGAATTTTTCATGACATAAGCTTCTTTCTAACCCCTTGATAATGCAATTAATGATGAGGAGATCAAATTTGTGATCCAAAAGTATAGGCAAAACCCTGCACAACCAATGTGATATAGTTGGACACCTTATTTCTGGGGCTACAACTCATGTGGGTTATACGGGTTGAGAGGTTAACTCCAGTTCAATTTTTGGGTTCAACCCAACAACTAGAGGCTTCAACCCGAGACTTATTTGAATTCAATTTGAATTGGGATTTTTTTGTTCAGACCCAACTCAAATATTAAAAATTTTAATCCAAACTCTTTTTTTTTGGGTTCGGCTCAGGTTGACCCGCCCAAGTTGTACCTCTACTTATTTCTTGGAGTGATAGGCCGATAAGAGTGTTAATCGAGGTAAGCTACTTGAGCTCGAATCATGTTTTAAACGAGTTGAGTTCGAACAATTTTCAAGACTCATTTAGAAAAACGAGCCTTAAAAAGTCTCGGCTCGAATTCGTAAAATTCGACTCATTTCCTAAACAAACCGAGGTTGAACAATTTTTTAAACTTATTTAAAAAAATGAGTTTGACAAACTCAAACTCAAACTCAAACTCAAACTTGACTTGATTAACACCATTAGGAATCGACACTGTTGTATTTGTTCAGAATAAAGGTGTTGTATTTGAATTTTGTAATAGGCATTGGGATTAGGAGGAGGGCAAAAGGATTTTCTTAAGACTTTTGGAATATGGAGTGACTTGTTGGACTTGGTGTGGGAAAGCATCGTTGAACATGACTATCGTCTATCTTGTTGGTTTCATTTTAAAAGAGATTACACACAAAAGAAAGTCTTCAACTCCTTTAATAACATCTCCAACAGAACACGTAAAATTTTAAAATAACTAAAATTTAACTATTTAAAGGCAAAAAAATACTCAAACAAAAGATGTTCAAAATAGGTATCACTTTACCGTTATGTATAAATAATTTATAATATATTCTTTTTCCTTTTGTTATTTTTCACCTCTCTTGTCTACTCTTTNTCGAGTTTTATGTCATAAATTACACATATTTTAAACCGTTCCTAAAACGTTAGAGTCGCTTATTAGGAGGACCAAATGATGGAATTAGGCCGAAAAACAACTTAGGTCATGACAGATAATTGATTAGACCCAAAACGACGAAACTAGGAGATTCAAATGATGAAATTAGACCCAAAAACATTGGGTCATTACAAAANCATAATTGATAGACCCAAAACGATGAAACTAGGAGATTCAAATGATGAAATTAGACCCAAAAACATTGGGTCATTACAAAACATGAGTATTGATTTTTGACCCGATCCATATAAACCGAACTCAATCATCCATTTTTTCTTGTACCATTACTTAGCCACTTTTTATTATGCTTTAAATGTACGATACTCTTCTCTCTCTCTCTCTCTAAATAACATGATACCACATCCTACACTACGCCTCACATACCTTTTGTTTTTCTAGTAAACCTTGTTCTTGTTCTACCTAAAACATTACTTAATAAACCAATGTCATTGGAGATTGAATTTTAAATTAGTCTCGCATGTACTATTATTATATAACCCTTTTTTTTTTTTTTTGCCAAGAAAAAAGGAGGGCCGATGAGTAAGTAAGTAACCTCTGGGCATAACTATAAGAGTCTCTCTGCTATAAAATGTTGTCTAAGTCATAACTATTATATCAGAAGGGTAGTCTGTCATTATAGTACTATCAAAGTTAAACTGAAAATCACGTTACTTCTGTGAATTGAACCATACTTGATAACCATACGAGAGTCAGACACGATCCTAAACGGATAGGATTTACCGGTAGATGGCCAATTTGAGTGATTGTTATATAATCATAACTAAATATTTTTTTTAACCAAAACAAGTGTACTAAACGACATAATTTACCGACAATTGATTCTGTAAATTCCTATCCTCATTCCTCGGTCCCTATTTTTGTCTTGTACCTCTTCTTTGCAAGGTTAAAAAAAACATGGTCGGTGGCTTGGTGCTTATGCGTTGTAGGTTGGTTGGTTAAAACTCATATATAGCTTTGGTCTACCCATGCACATAGAGCCAAATTCAAAGGATCTCATACCTCCTAACATGGATTCCTAATTGCACTTGCCATCAAAATTTGACCAAAATCCTTGAAAAAGGAGCCATCCTGGACTGTCTTGCACCGAGATTCTACCTCTGTCGGTGTGTGTGTGTGTGTGTGTGAATTTGATGACATGAAACATGCCGTAATTTGTGTGGAAGAAGTCGTGGAGTTAAATGATAGATAATCTATATCTTTATTTGGGGGAAATTTGACGGTATCAAAAAAAAATTTTGGATATTGGTACTACTGATTACTGCTCTATATAGTAAAATTATAATTATTCAATGGAGGTTATGGTTGATCACAAACACCCATTTTAATCATGTCTTTTAAAATTATAACTTACACCTCAAAAAAATTATATTTTAAACTTAAAAAATTTATAATTTTCGATACCGGTACCGCACAAGTTCTCTTATTTGGGACATGCCAATTTCCCAAATTACAGTTACATTAAACTCAATTATGTCATAAGGAAACCAATGAGTCGGGCCAATATTGCGTGTTTAAATTGTTTTAAGTCATGTGTATATATAATCAGGTTTGTGTTGTTTATAAGTTGTTTAATTGTGTCCGTAACATATGTAGTCATTTTCATGTCAACATGTTTATTTGACAAGCAATGTTATATGAACTTAAAAATTAGATTTGATAATCTTAACCACTGATTTTACATTGGTTTATCATCGGAACTCACTAAATCTAAACTAGTTAAATTTTTTAATTCCACGTTGATTTCATGTCAATCCGGGTTAAGATCAACTACCAGCGGAACTTGCGGTTCTACAACTCCGATGATTAGTGGTTAATGCCAAGACAATGTCTCCATTCAAATAATTCAATCAATCAGTCAATTATTCACATTACCCATTAACGTAAGTACGAAGCAGAGAAAAAAAATTGCATGGTGGCATGCACATAGGAGAGAGAAAATCAAGGAGAAGAAGAGGTTGAAGAAATGCATGTGCATGGTGGGGTCTATGAGCTTAGCAATTGAGTAGTTCAGTTTGAACAACTGCATGTGCATATTGATGCTTTTACATGACCTGAAATAAAGGATTTTGTGGCTTTGCCTGCTCTCAGACCTCAGCATTGGCTAACTTGTCAATTTCTGCTATGCACTCTAAACCTCTATTTCCACTTCCTATATAAGGCCACGCCCACTCTCCTTCCTTGCATCAACCTCTCAGCACTCAATCTTCGCTCTTCCAATCTTTGTCTCAGACTTCTCTCTCTCTTTCTCACACACAATGGCTATTCCAGCAATCTCCATTGCTTCTCTTCTTTTCTTGTTCTTCAATTTGTGCCTTCGAGGCATCTATGGTGACTATGGAGGGTGGGAAAGTGCTCATGCTACTTTCTATGGTGGGGGAGATGCATCCGGGACAATGGGTACGTCAAATATCATTTATTCTTATATAAGGGTCATGTGTATTGGATCGTTTTTTTTTTTATTTGGACATGTAGCTTCACATTCTTATGTCAGTTATACTGTTAACTTTGATTGATTGAAAATAACTTTACACTGAATGACAGCCAATTAAAACTGGTATTGGTAATTGCAGGGGGTGCATGTGGGTATGGCAATTTGTACAGCCAAGGCTATGGGACCAACACTGCAGCACTAAGCACTGCTTTATTCAACAATGGCTTGAGCTGTGGATCGTGCTATGAGATGAAGTGTAATGATGACCCGAAATGGTGTCTCCCGGGCACCATTACTGTCACTGCCACAAACTTCTGCCCTCCAAACCCTGCCCAGCCAAGTGACAATGGTGGCTGGTGCAATCCACCCCGCCAGCACTTTGACATGGCTGAGCCTGCGTTCCTGCAAATTGCTCAATACCGAGCTGGAATTGTTCCTGTTTCCTTTCGAAGGTATGATCAAGTTTTAATGCTCTCCAATTACATTAAAAATTGAGTGTAATTCACTTCCAATGACATTAAAATGTATCAAAGTTTGCTTCCAGTGTTTTGAGTCACATGTTTAAAGTACTATTACACAATAATTTTACTGTTGAATTGATTTGCTGATATTGTTTGTGTTGGTCTTGAAAGGGTGCCCTGTGTGAAGAAAGGAGGAATAAGGTTTACAATCAATGGTCACTCCTATTTCAACTTGGTCCTGATCACCAATGTCGGCGGTGCAGGGGATGTCCATTCAGTGTCCATCAAGGGGTCTAAAACAGGGTGGCAACCCATGTCAAGGAACTGGGGCCAAAACTGGCAGAGCAATTCGTACCTCAATGGCCAGTCTCTCTCTTTTCAGGTCACCACCAGTGATGGAAGGACTGTAACCAGCAACAACGTCGTCCCGGCCAATTGGCAGTTTGGGCAAACATTCTCTGGGGGTCAATTTTAAGCTTCTAAGACAATCAAACGTGTTGAAATTTGTATATGGTATTTGAAAGTTGGACAGGGAGTGGCTTGGGGACTGTGGTTGGCTCTGTAGCTGTGGTTGCTAGTTAGCACCCGCTTAGACCTATATAATATGTAGCAGTGATTTGCATCAAACACAAAAATATTTGGGGTTGGTATAACCGACTCTAAATACTTAGGATAGGAAATTGTTGAGTTGAGTCGAGATATTTGGTTGGTAGGCCATAAATAAAGGCCACAAGAATATCATATAAGGTCTGCAAATTTAACCTCCAGGTTGGGACAGCTTCATGTAACTGAAGTACACTTTTATCTATTGAATGTTTTTTTTCTAACTAAGAATTTTTGTATTTTACGTAGTAACTTCAAACACGATTATTTGATAGTAAATCTATAATGAAAAGATAAAAGCGGTTGTTTTCAAAGGTATTGTTGCCATAAAGCAATGTGGTTTCAGTTAAGTTTTAACGATTATGTAAAGTGCAAGGGTCTCCTAGCCTTGGACAGCCATAAAGCATCTCTCTCCTAATAGGTGAATGAACCCATGTGCAGATGTCATCTCCATGGACCTCTGTTTGGCTAAACATGGACGTCTATAGTTGTATTGATTTTACAATATTTAATGGAGCCGTATAACCCAAATGATGCGACAAAACTCAAATAAGCCCCAATGATGTGACAAAACTCAAATAATCCGTTAGGTATTGTTGGACCACCTTATTTTTTTATTTTTTTTTTATCAAAAAAAAAAATGGAGGGGCGATTGGTAGATAGTAACTCTTTATGAGCGTGACCATGAGTGTTTCTCCATTGTGAAATGTCCAGTTTGAATCATAGCTACTAACCTGGAAGGGTAACTCGTCACCACAACACCACCAAAGTTCAGCAGTAAACTATGTTAATTCCGTAAATCAGATCTTGCTTGATAACCGTATGCGAATCAAAAACGACCCTAAACGGGTATGACTTACAACTAGATCACCAACTTGGGTGATCCTTATTTATTAGTATTCGAAAACTTTCGAATCATTTGGGCTACAAATTTAATTCAAAATTTTGGTCATATTATCATTATTGTTTTCAAATATTAGGCGATCCCCATGATATTCTCTCAATGTACGTGAGGGTGTTAACATAATTTATTCAAAAAATAAAAGTAAAATATTTTTTCAAATTTTGCAATTCACTAAGCTTGGGAGTCTCCAAAAACGTTCCCCAACCTCTATGGACATAGATAGGCCACATAAAATTAAAGCAACAAAATAACCTAGTGAGGTTTTTCATTTAAGAGGAAATTTGCCACCAAGAGAAGAATTTTTCATGACATAAGCTTCTTTCTAACCCCTTGATAATGCAATTCATGATGAGGAGATCAAATTTGTGATCCAAAAGTATAGGCAAAACCCTGCACAACCAATGTGATATAGTTGGACACCTTATTTCTGGGGCTACAACTCATGTGGGTTATACGGGTTGAGAGGTTAACTCCAGTTCAATTTTTGGGTTCAACCCAACAACTAGAGGCTTCAACCCGAGACTTATTTGAATTCAATTTGAATTGGGATTTTTTTGTTCAGACCCAACTCAAATATTAAAAATTTTAATCCAAACTCTTTTTTTTTGGGTTCGGCTCAGGTTGACCCGCCCAAGTTGTACCTCTACTTATTTCTTGGAGTGATAGGCCGATAAGAGTGTTAATCGAGGTAAGCTACTTGAGCTCGAATCATGTTTTAAACGAGTTGAGTTCGAACAATTTTCAAGACTCATTTAGAAAAACGAGCCTTAAAAAGTCTCGGCTCGAATTCGTAAAATTCGACTCATTTCCTAAACAAACCGAGGTTGAACAATTTTTTAAACTTATTTAAAAAAATGAGTTTGACAAACTCAAACTCAAACTCAAACTCAAACTTGACTTGATTAACACCATTAGGAATCGACACTGTTGTATTTGTTCAGAATAAAGGTGTTGTATTTGAATTTTGTAATAGGCATTGGGATTAGGAGGAGGGCAAAAGGATTTTCTTAAGACTTTTGGAATATGGAGTGACTTGTTGGACTTGGTGTGGGAAAGCATCGTTGAACATGACTATCGTCTATCTTGTTGGTTTCATTTTAAAAGAGATTACACACAAAAGAAAGTCTTCAACTCCTTTAATAACATCTCCAACAGAACACGTAAAATTTTAAAATAACTAAAATTTAACTATTTAAAGGCAAAAAAATACTCAAACAAAAGATGTTCAAAATAGGTATCACTTTACCGTTATGTATAAATAATTTATAATATATTCTTTTTCCTTTTGTTATTTTTCACCTCTCTTGTCTACTCTTTGATTTTCCCTCCATTTTTTCTCTCTCTCCCTTTAATAGTTCCAACAAATTTACAAGATATAAGAAATAATATTTAAAACTAATAGTTAAAATATAAAAAATCTATTAGTGTATGTATTAAGAAAGTGAGTACCTAAAATAAAAAAAGTGCGTTTTTGGATAATTAAAACACAAAACCTTTTTAGAGATGCTCTGACATAAATTTTGATATATATTGAAAAACTCTTCCGACTCCATGACAGTGGAAAATAGGACCAGCAAAATTTGTGGCCCATGATTTGGCCCGTTAATCTAGAGATCCATCTGGCCATGCACTGGCCCGATCCATAAGGTGGCTGTCCAATAACCAAATGGATAGATTCACGATTCCTAGTTTGGCCCATTAAGCACAACTGACAAGCTTAAAATTTGATAAAATTAAAAAANAACATGAGTATTGATTTTTGACCCGATCCATATAAACCGAACTCAATCATCCATTTTTTCTTGTACCATTACTTAGCCACTTTTTATTATGCTTTAAATGTACGATACTCTTCTCTCTCTCTCTCTCTAAATAACATGATACCACATCCTACACTACGCCTCACATACCTTTTGTTTTTCTAGTAAACCTTGTTCTTGTTCTACCTAAAACATTACTTAATAAACCAATGTCATTGGAGATTGAATTTTAAATTAGTCTCGCACGTACTATTATTATATAANTATGGACTAGGGCTTCAATTTGTTTGGACTAGAGCTCTCTTTTTTATGGGATGGATTACCGTGGATTGTGTTGAATTTAGGGGGCCGGAATTGAAGCATTGTAATTTAGTGCGTGGATAACAATTTTTTTTATTATCCATTTTTTTTTGTTTTTTTTTTGGGAGCTTAAATGGTCCAATCAGGGAGACGATTTCTATTAAAATTTTNCGTACTATTATTATATAACCCCTTTTTTTTTTTTTGCCAAGAAAAAAGGAGGGCCGATGAGTAAGTAAGTAACCTCTGGGCATAACTATAAGGGTTTCTCCGCTATAAACTTTTGTCTAAGTCATAACTATTATATCAGAAGGGTAGTCTGTCATTATAGTACTATCAANAGTCTCTCTGCTATAAAATGTTGTCTAAGTCATAACTATTATATCAGAAGGGTAGTCTGTCATTATAGTACTATCAAAGTTAAACTGAAAATCACGTTACTTCTGTGAATTGAACCATACTTGATAACCATACGAGAGTCAGACACGATCCTAAACGGATAGGATTTACCGGTAGATGGCCAATTTGNATTCATTACGTATCATTTATATCTTAACCGACATTTTCTAATTGGTACAAGGAACCATCATGCATTTGATAACAAATTCAGCACTTAAAACTAATGACATTCCATACTTTTTTAATTAAGTTCGTTTAATAATCAAAACTTTCATCATTTAAAAATTTCAACACTTCTTAAAAATAGATTAAAATTTTAAGTAATTATCCAATTGCTTATCNGAATTGAACCATACTTGATAACCATACGAGAGTCAGACACGATCCTAAACGGATAGGATTTACCGGTAGATGGCCAATTTGAGTGATTGTTATATAATCATAACTAAATATTTTTTTTAACCAAAACAAGTGTACTAAACGACATAATTTACCGACAATTGATTCTGTAAATTCCTATCCTCATTCCTCGGTCCCTATTTTTGTCTTGTACCTCTTNAAATTGAACCATACTTGATAATCATACGAGAGTCAGACACGATCCTAAACGGGTAGGATTTACCGGTAGATGACCAATTTGAGTGATTGTTATATAACCATAACTACATATTTTTTTTAACCAAAACAAGTGTACTAAACGACATAATTTACCGACAATTGATTCTGTAAATTCCTATCCTCATTCCTCGGTCCCTATTTTTGTCTTGTACCTCTTCTTTGCAAGGTTAAAAAAAACATGGTCGGTGGCTTGGTGCTTATGCGTTGTAGGTTGGTTGGTTAAAACTCATATATAGCTTTGGTCTACCCATGCACATAGAGCCTAATTCAAAGGATCTCATATCTCCTAACATGGATTCCTAATTGCACTTGCCATCAAAATTTGACCAAAATCCTTGAAAAAGGAGCCATCCTGGACTGTCTTGCACCGAGATTCTACCTCTGTCGGTGTGTGTGTGTGTGTGTGTGAATTTGATGACATGAAACATGCCGTAATTTGTGTGGAAGAAGTCGTGGAGTTAAATGATAGATAATCTATATCTTTATTTGGGGGAAATTTGACGGTATCAAAAAAAAATTTTGGATATTGGTACTACTGATTACTGCTCTATATAGTAAAATTATAATTATTCAATGGAGGTTATGGTTGATCACAAACACCCATTTTAATCATGTCTTTTAAAATTATAACTTACACCTCAAAAAAATTATATTTTAAACTTAAAAAATTTATAATTTTCGATACCGGTACCGCACAAGTTCTCTTATTTGGGACATGCCAATTTCCCAAATTACAGTTACATTAAACTCAATTATGTCATAAGGAAACCAATGAGTCGGGCCAATATTGCGTGTTTAAATTGTTTTAAGTCATGTGTATATATAATCAGGTTTGTGTTGTTTATAAGTTGTTTAATTGTGTCCGTAACATATGTAGTCATTTTCATGTCAACATGTTTATTTGACAAGCAATGTTATATGAACTTAAAAATTAGATTTGATAATCTTAACCACTGATTTTACATTGGTTTATCATCGGAACTCACTAAATCTAAACTAGTTAAATTTTTTAATTCCACGTTGATTTCATGTCAATCCGGGTTAAGATCAACTACCAGCGGAACTTGCGGTTCTACAACTCCGATGATTAGTGGTTAATGCCAAGACAATGTCTCCATTCAAATAATTCAATCAATCAGTCAATTATTCACATTACCCATTAACGTAAGTACGAAGCAGAGAAAAAAAATTGCATGGTGGCATGCACATAGGAGAGAGAAAATCAAGGAGAAGAAGAGGTTGAAGAAATGCATGTGCATGGTGGGGTCTATGAGCTTAGCAATTGAGTAGTTCAGTTTGAACAACTGCATGTGCATATTGATGCTTTTACATGACCTGAAATAAAGGATTTTGTGGCTTTGCCTGCTCTCAGACCTCAGCATTGGCTAACTTGTCAATTTCTGCTATGCACTCTAAACCTCTATTTCCACTTCCTATATAAGGCCACGCCCACTCTCCTTCCTTGCATCAACCTCTCAGCACTCAATCTTCGCTCTTCCAATCTTTGTCTCAGACTTCTCTCTCTCTTTCTCACACACAATGGCTATTCCAGCAATCTCCATTGCTTCTCTTCTTTTCTTGTTCTTCAATTTGTGCCTTCGAGGCATCTATGGTGACTATGGAGGGTGGGAAAGTGCTCATGCTACTTTCTATGGTGGGGGAGATGCATCCGGGACAATGGGTACGTCAAATATCATTTATTCTTATATAAGGGTCATGTGTATTGGATCGTTTTTTTTTTTATTTGGACATGTAGCTTCACATTCTTATGTCAGTTATACTGTTAACTTTGATTGATTGAAAATAACTTTACACTGAATGACAGCCAATTAAAACTGGTATTGGTAATTGCAGGGGGTGCATGTGGGTATGGCAATTTGTACAGCCAAGGCTATGGGACCAACACTGCAGCACTAAGCACTGCTTTATTCAACAATGGCTTGAGCTGTGGATCGTGCTATGAGATGAAGTGTAATGATGACCCGAAATGGTGTCTCCCGGGCACCATTACTGTCACTGCCACAAACTTCTGCCCTCCAAACCCTGCCCAGCCAAGTGACAATGGTGGCTGGTGCAATCCACCCCGCCAGCACTTTGACATGGCTGAGCCTGCGTTCCTGCAAATTGCTCAATACCGAGCTGGAATTGTTCCTGTTTCCTTTCGAAGGTATGATCAAGTTTTAATGCTCTCCAATTACATTAAAAATTGAGTGTAATTCACTTCCAATGACATTAAAATGTATCAAAGTTTGCTTCCAGTGTTTTGAGTCACATGTTTAAAGTACTATTACACAATAATTTTACTGTTGAATTGATTTGCTGATATTGTTTGTGTTGGTCTTGAAAGGGTGCCCTGTGTGAAGAAAGGAGGAATAAGGTTTACAATCAATGGTCACTCCTATTTCAACTTGGTCCTGATCACCAATGTCGGCGGTGCAGGGGATGTTCATTCAGTGTCCATCAAGGGGTCTAAAACAGGGTGGCAACCCATGTCAAGGAACTGGGGCCAAAACTGGCAGAGCAATTCGTACCTCAATGGCCAGTCTCTCTCTTTTCAGGTCACCACCAGTGATGGAAGGACTGTAACCAGCAACAACGTCGTCCCGGCCAATTGGCAGTTTGGGCAAACATTCTCTGGGGGTCAATTTTAAGCTTCTAAGACAATCAAACGTGTTGAAATTTGTATATGGTATTTGAAAGTTGGACAGGGAGTGGCTTGGGGACTGTGGTTGGCTCTGTAGCTGTGGTTGCTAGTTAGCACCCGCTTAGACCTATATAATATGTAGCAGTGATTTGCATCAAACACAAAAATATTTGGGGCTGGTATAACCGACTCTAAATACTTAGGATAGGAAATTGTTGAGTTGAGTCGAGATATTTGGTTGGTAGGCCATAAATAAAGGCCACAAGAATATCATATAAGGTCTGCAAATTTAACCTCCAGGTTGGGACAGCTTCATGTAACTGAAGTACACTTTTATCTATTGAATGTTTTTTTTCTAACTAAGAATTTTTGTATTTTACGTAGTAACTTCAAACACGATTATTTGATAGTAAATCTATAATGAAAAGATAAAAGCGGTTGTTTTCAAAGGTATTGTTGCCATAAAGCAATGTGGTTTCAGTTAAGTTTTAACGATTATGTAAAGTGCAAGGGTCTCCTAGCCTTGGACAGCCATAAAGCATCTCTCTCCTAATAGGTGAATGAACCCATGTGCAGATGTCATCTCCATGGACCTCTGTTTGGCTAAACATGGACGTCTATAGTTGTATTGATTTTACAATATTTAATGGAGCCGTATAACCCAAATGATGCGACAAAACTCAAATAAGCCCCAATGATGTGACAAAACTCAAATAATCCGTTAGGTATTGTTGGACCACCTTATTTTTTTATTTTTTTTTTATCAAAAAAAAAAATGGAGGGGCGATTGGTAGATAGTAACTCTTTATGAGCGTGACCATGAGTGTTTCTCCATTGTGAAATGTCCAGTTTGAATCATAGCTACTAACCTGGAAGGGTAACTCGTCACCACAACACCACCAAAGTTCAGCAGTAAACTATGTTAATTCCGTAAATCAGATCTTGCTTGATAACCGTATGCGAATCAAAAACGACCCTAAACGGGTATGACTTACAACTAGATCACCAACTTGGGTGATCCTTATTTATTAGTATTCGAAAACTTTCGAATCATTTGGGCTACAAATTTAATTCAAAATTTTGGTCATATTATCATTATTGTTTTCAAATATTAGGCGATCCCCATGATATTCTCTCAATGTACGTGAGGGTGTTAACATAATTTATTCAAAAAATAAAAGTAAAATATTTTTTCAAATTTTGCAATTCACTAAGCTTGGGAGTCTCCAAAAACGTTCCCCAACCTCTATGGACATAGATAGGCCACATAAAATTAAAGCAACAAAATAACCTAGTGAGGTTTTTCATTTAAGAGGAAATTTGCCACCAAGAGAAGAATTTTTCATGACATAAGCTTCTTTCTAACCCCTTGATAATGCAATTCATGATGAGGAGATCAAATTTGTGATCCAAAAGTATAGGCAAAACCCTGCACAACCAATGTGATATAGTTGGACACCTTATTTCTGGGGCTACAACTCATGTGGGTTATACGGGTTGAGAGGTTAACTCCAGTTCAATTTTTGGGTTCAACCCAACAACTAGAGGCTTCAACCCGAGACTTATTTGAATTCAATTTGAATTGGGATTTTTTTGTTCAGACCCAACTCAAATATTAAAAATTTTAATCCAAACTCTTTTTTTTTGGGTTCGGCTCAGGTTGACCCGCCCAAGTTGTACCTCTACTTATTTCTTGGAGTGATAGGCCGATAAGAGTGTTAATCGAGGTAAGCTACTTGAGCTCGAATCATGTTTTAAACGAGTTGAGTTCGAACAATTTTCAAGACTCATTTAGAAAAACGAGCCTTAAAAAGTCTCGGCTCGAATTCGTAAAATTCGACTCATTTCCTAAACAAACCGAGGTTGAACAATTTTTTAAACTTATTTAAAAAAATGAGTTTGACAAACTCAAACTCAAACTCAAACTCAAACTTGACTTGATTAACACCATTAGGAATCGACACTGTTGTATTTGTTCAGAATAAAGGTGTTGTATTTGAATTTTGTAATAGGCATTGGGATTAGGAGGAGGGCAAAAGGATTTTCTTAAGACTTTTGGAATATGGAGTGACTTGTTGGACTTGGTGTGGGAAAGCATCGTTGAACATGACTATCGTCTATCTTGTTGGTTTCATTTTAAAAGAGATTACACACAAAAGAAAGTCTTCAACTCCTTTAATAACATCTCCAACAGAACACGTAAAATTTTAAAATAACTAAAATTTAACTATTTAAAGGCAAAAAAATACTCAAACAAAAGATGTTCAAAATAGGTATCACTTTACCGTTATGTATAAATAATTTATAATATATTCTTTTTCCTTTTGTTATTTTTCACCTCTCTTGTCTACTCTTTGATTTTCCCTCCATTTTTTCTCTCTCTCCCTTTAATAGTTCCAACAAATTTACAAGATATAAGAAATAATATTTAAAACTAATAGTTAAAATATAAAAAATCTATTAGTGTATGTATTAAGAAAGTGAGTACCTAAAATAAAAAGAGTGCGTTTTTGGATAATTAAAACACAAAACCTTTTTAGAGATGCTCTGACATAAATTTTGATATATATTGAAGAACTCTTCCGACTCCATGACAGTGGAAAATAGGACCAGCAAAATTTCTGGCCCATGATTTGGCCCGTTAATCTAGAGATCCATCTGGCCATGCACTGGCCCGATCCATAAGGTGGCTGTCCAATAACCAAATGGATAGATTCACGATTCCTAGTTTGGCCCATTAAGCACAACTGACAAGCTTAAAATTTGATAAAATTAAAAAAAAAAAAATAGATAAATTAATATGAACCGATGGATGAGTGGACCCAGTTAAAAAAGTTCATAAAATAAAAATGCCCATTTGGACCAGCCCAATGAACAGCCCGCTTTGTCCACCAACATAGATCGGCCCTTAACCCATCACTGGCTGGATTGGCCCTCGTTCCAGACTAGAACTTGTTGGCTTCTTTCTCTAACTAAACTGGATCGAAAGTAATAAGTTGGGCTATGGACTAGGGCTTCAATTTGTTTGGACTAGAGCTCTCTTTTTTATGGGATGGATTACCGTGGATTGTGTTGAATTTAGGGGGCCGGAATTGAAGCATTGTAATTTAGTGCGTGGATAACAATTTTTTTTATTATCCATTTTTTTTTGTTTTTTTTTTGGGAGCTTAAATGGTCCAATCAGGGAGACGATTTCTATTAAAATTTTATTGGATTATTTGAACTCAAATTCAAAAATTCAAAAATGTAATTAACACTCAAAGTATTTTTTTTATTTATATTTCTTAAAAATATTATTTGTATATATATTAACACTTGAGGCATAGTAAAAAATCAATTCATTACGTATCATTTATATCTTAACCGACATTTTCTAATTGGTACAAGGAACCATCATGCATTTGATAACAAATTCAGCACTTAAAACTAAAGACATTCCATACTTTTTTAATTAAGTTCGTTTAATAATCAAAACTTTCATCATTTAAAAATTTCAACACTTCTTAAAAATAGATTAAAATTTTAAGTAATTATCCAATTGCTTATCACTTAAAACTAAATTGTTAGTAAATAAGAGTTTTGTAAACTTTTAATGATACACCAATTTGTTCCCGAAAAAATTGACTCTTATCCATCTAGCTCCAAACTTTTCACCACCCACCAATGACACAACCATTATCACCACGGCTGTCGCCACCATCACCAACACCACATTCTCATCACAACCATCGAACCATCACCACGATAACCATCTTTGATGTTGTTGTTGCCACCACCACAACCATAATTATCATTGTGGTTGTTACTATCATCAATTCCTTAACCATAATTACTTTCGCATCCACAACAACTGCTATCACTTCTAACATCAATTCCTTAACCATACCATCATTGCCACCATTATCCCCACTATCCTACCACACCATTGTCACCACCATTGCCACAACCACCTATACCCGCCCAGCCACCATTGCCACCGCATCGCACACCACCACCAACTTCATGTTTATCACCCCACCATCCCCACCTTCGCCAATTGCCACCACCGCCTTCATCCACCCCATGGTCGCCATCGCCCGCCATCCCCCGCTACTATCACCTAACCACCATTCCACCAACATTAAACATGGTAGTTTTGTGCATGTGGTGTTGGTAGAATCAATTATGAGGAGGAGATGGTGGTATGATTTCCACCTACCTTATCGTCATCGTCACTTCATCACTATCAATTCCATCTCTACTACTCCCACAACCACAACTACATCCACCACCAACACGGCCNAAGGTGGTGGTATGATTTCCACCTACCTTATCGTCATCGTCACTTCATCACTATCAATTCCATCTCTACTACCCCCACAACCACAACTACATCCACCACCAACACGGCCTCCACCTATTGCCATTACCACCTATGTCCATCCCATTATCCCTCGTCCCCTAACACCATATCACAACCACTGTTACCACCACTCCACCAACATCACCAGTGGAGGGATGTGTGGTGTGCGTGTGTATGTGTATGTGGAGGTGGTAGGAAAGTGGTTATAGAGAGGTAGAGGAAAAAGGGAGAAGTAGGAAACTAATAGTTTTCAAACTTCAGCTCATTATATTGATCAAACAATTTGAATCAACTAAATACTTAAAATTCAATACCTACTAAACAGTTTTCATATTAAAAATTTAATATTTAATTATTAAATTTATCAATCATCAACCTAATCAAATTACTTAAATCTAACTCACAATTTTTTAGCCTCATAATTTTNTTTATCAATCATCAACCTAATCAAATTACTTAAATCTAACTCACAATTTTTTAGCCTCATAATTTTTTGGAGTTGAGGAATAAGTGGTAGTCGTGAAGACTTTTTTACCCCTTTTATGTACATAATCATAGTGGCCATACTTTGTCTCACACGCCTATTCATTGGTTGTTCTCATGACTCCCCGACTACCTGCTAAACAAAAGTTCATAGTTTTGATTTTTTACAGAATTATTATTGTATTCTTATGCCACTTTCTCTTCATTTCAAGAATGCTTTGATTCTTTCCACTCACTTCATCTTTCCAAAGAACACTCGATACTACATTACAAAATTAAAGCCAAGGTTTTCAAAGACTCATAAAATTCAAATCTAAAGCTTCACTTAGGGTTTGACGGTTCTCTCTACTCCGACCATGCCAAGGACTAAATTTGGACTGGATAGGTTATGGTTGAACCCATGGGTTGGCCTTATCCCCCACCCGTTGGATCACGAGAGGAAGTCATATGCCAAGGAAATGATTTCTATAGTCTACTCTAGTGATTCTTAAAGAAAAAAAAAAAGAATAAAGGTTTGTTAAATTAGTTATAAGACAGTGTGACAGATATTANAGGATCACGAGAGGAAGTCATATGCCAAGGAAATGATTTCTATAGTCTACTCTACTCTAGTGATTCTAAAAGAAAAAAAAAAGAATAAAGGTTTGTTAAATTAGTTATAAGACAGTGTGACAGATATTATCGGATTAAAGAAACAATAGGGGAGTTCTTCGTCATTTTCAATGATCAAGACTCGAGTACTCTACAGTCCATATATAGAAGATAGGGTTTTTTGGTTGTGGGTACAATTTTTTAGACTTATTTAAGAAAAAATGTATGGATAAATTGTTTATTCTATTAAGTTCAATTTTAATAAAACATATTGTCTTTATGTACAAAATTCAAATGAAATCAAAACTTTTTTTACTTAAATATCCTCCCTTAAATTATTCATTCTTTTAATTGGCAGTTATATATCTAATTAACTATATAAAGATTTATTAGACTCNTGTCATTTTCAATGATCAAGACTCGAGTACTCTACGATAGGGTTTTTTGGTTGTGGATACAATTTTTTAGACTTATTTAAGAAAAAGTGTATGGATAAATTGTTTACTCTATTAAGTTCAATTTTAATAAAACATATTGTCTTTATGTAGAAAATTCAAATGAAATCAAAACTTTTTTTACTTAAATATCCTCCCTTAAATTATGCATTCTTTTAATTGGCAGTTATATATCTAATTAACTATATAAAGATTTATTAGACTCTCTCACTATCTCTCCCCTATATTCTCTTCATCTCTCTCTCCCCGTTACTCTCTCTATCTCTCCCATATTTTCTCTATCTATATATCATTGATAATTTATTTTCTTTTCAAATATGTAAATATTTGATTTATTTTTTCATCTCTCTCCCCTATTTTCTCTCTCTATTTATATCAACAATACAATTATACTAATCTATTACATCAATTAGTTACAATTGTCTTGTAATACCCCTTACAATTATTCATGCGTTCTAATAAACCAAACAGTTACACCAAACAATTACATAAAATTATGACGTCAACCCAATTTGTCATTCAATTGTTTATATAAGCTAAATAATTATACCATTTAATATCGCAACATCGTTGCACCAATTATATATACCAAATTTAGTATAATGGTAAAGTCTTTTATGTAATGATAAACCTAATTTAGTATATCATATCGTGATACTAAATGGTGTAACTCTTTGATTTATGTAAATAACTAAATAACAAATTAGGTTAATGTTGTAATTTCGTATAATTGTTTCGTGTGACTATTTGGTTTATTAGAATACATAAGTAACTGTTTGGTGTATTATAATGTAACTAGTCATAACCCGTGCTTAGGCACTATAAAATATAAAATTCGAGTATCTAAAAAATCGATCTCACTATATTAAAAAAATTTTAAATATATTAACTACAAATTAATTAAATATTAAATAGTTAAATATATGATAAAAATAAGTTGTGTGATATTTTTAGGGAGGAAATATATAAATGATTAAATATGTGATANTTCTCCCCTATTTTCTCTCTCTATTTATATCAACAATACAATTATACTAATCAATTACATCAATTAGTTACAATTGTCTTGTAATACACCATACAATTATTCAAGCGTTCTAATAAATCAAACAGTTACACCAAACAATTACATAAAATTATGACGTCAACCCAATTTGTCATTTAATTGTTTATATAAGCTAAATAATTATACCATTTAATATTGCAACATCGTTGCACCAATTATATATACCAAATTTAATATAATGGTAAAGTCTTTTATATAATGATAAACCCAATTTAGTATACCATATCGTGATACTAAATGGTGTAACTCTTTGATTTATGTAAATAACTAAATAACAAATTGGGTTAATGTTGTAATTTCGTATAATTGTTTCGTGTGACTATTTGGTTTATTAGAATACATAAGTAACTGTTTGATGTATTATAATGTAACTAGTCATAACCCGTGCTTAGGCACTATAAAATATAAAATTCGAGCATCTAAAAAATCGATCTCACTATATTAATTTTTTTAAAAATATATTAACTACAAATTAATTAAATATTAAATAGTTAAATATATGATAGAAATAAGTTGTGTGATATTTTTAGGGAGGAAATATATAAATGATTAAATATGTGATAGAAATGAGTGATGTTATTTGACGTTTGAGTCTGACAAAGAGATGATGGATGAGGTAAGTAATTGGTGATGATTTTGAGAGAAAAAATATGACTGGGATAAAATTCAAACACACTCATGTTTTATTATATAAATTATAACTAATTAGTGTAATTGATTAGTATAATTGTGTTGTTGTAACGTTGATATAAGGAGAGAAAGAAATGAGAGAGTAAGAGAGAGAGAGAGAGAGAGAGAGAGAGAGNGGAAAAATATGACTGGGATAAAATTTAAACACACTCCTGTTTTATTATATAGATTATAACTAATTAGTGTAATTGATTAGTATAATTGTGTTGTTGTAACGTTAATATAAGGAGAGAAAGAAATGAGAGAGTAAGAGAGAGAGAGAGAGAGATGAAAAAATTAAATCAAATTTTTACATATTTAAAAAAAAAATTATCAATGTGAGAGAAAGAGAGAGAGAAATAGATATAGAAAAAATAGAGAAGAGAGAGTGATGGAGAGAGAAAGTAATGGAGTAACAAANTATTTAAAAAAAATAAATTATCAATGTGAGAGAAAGAGAGAGAGAAATAGATATAGAAAAAATAGAGAAGAGAGAGTGATGGAGAGAGAAAGTAATGGAGTAACAAATGACCTTTTAGTCTTCTTTTTTTTAAAAATATACTTAAGATCAAATAAGTTTTCTTAATATAGTTTAACTCAAAAAAGGCTAAATTTTTGTATAATTTCCAAATTACCCTAGAAGATAATCAACTCTATTAANTAAATGACCTTTTAGTCTTCTTTTTTTAAAAAATATACTTAGGATCAAATAAGTTTTCTTAATATAGTTTAAGGCTAAATTTTTGTATAATTTCCAAATTACCCTAGAAGATAATCAACTCTATTAAAAAGATCCATGTGCTAGTGGATGATGAAAATGACAGTGGGTTAGGTTTCTCTTGGGCCCAACATCATCCATACAACTTATGCCTCACTGGATTGAGGACAACCCATTTTTGTTGCATATGCACATGGTCCTAATTTTTTTTATATATACGAAAAAACACCCAACAGGGCCACCACCATGAAAATCCGACTGGACCACCCACCCATTTGTTCAAGAACAACAACAATTTATATTCTGAGAACAATGAACACAACGAACCAACAACTTGGTGGCTTTGATTGTAAGTAGAGACCAAGTTCCATAGCTTTTAAGTGCTTGAGGTATTAAGAAGAAACAAGAATAAGAAGCTGAGAGTTTTAGCCACTTGAGGACAAAGTACAGTTCACGGGTTCAGCGACTAAAATTCAATTCAATAATCGTGTGATTTTGAGTTTGAACCTGCCTGTTATTTTTGAACAAATAATGTCNCTGAGGGCAAAGTACAGTTCACGGGTTCAGCGACTAAAATTCAATCCAATAATCGTGTGATTTTGAGTTTGAACCTGCCTGTTATTTTTGAACAAATAATGTCAGGAGATTATGTTTATCAACAGGGACTAAAACTGGGTAATTACTTTTTTTTTTTTTTATCAGAGAAAGAAACATGAATATGGCAAAAGAAAAGAAACAAATTAAAAAAAAAGCATTTAACGAAGAAGATATTAGGGGCTAGAGACAGTTTCCAGAGCATCATATTATTCTATTTGGAACCATTTTATTTCTGTAAGTAGCTTTCCCTTTTCCCCTTGTTTGTGCCTCTTCACTTTGTGTTATTCTATTCAGCACTTAGATTATTTGCTTCGAAGTTGGTGCTAAGAATCTTGAGGCCCTTCAGACTTTATCAAGTCACTTTTGACTTGCCACAATGTATTTTAATGTTCTCTGTTGCTATCACTGGTGACTCCTCATGTTCAGAGAAGAAGAGTCAAAAAGGGCTCTACCTATCTGAACTACTGGAACCAAAGGAAATTACCAACAAATTTAAGAGTCAAAAAGGTTGCAATCAATTCTAAAATATTATGATCAATTCAACTGACCCCATTTTGTGATAACTTTATCATTAAGCAACCTTGTGTGATTGAGTCGCAATTATGGATACCATACTAAGAAATAACCCTTCAGTTAGTAACATATTATATCTCTTCTTACATCCTGAAAAGTACAGCTTCAATGGGGTTGAACAGGCTTATACTCTTTACACATGCACTAGCTATTAACTGAGTTTTCTACACCTTGTAAAACGTAGTAAAATGTTGAGTAAATAAAAGATTTTCAGTAAGAGGTCAAAACTAGCATCAACAATTAGCTTGAGACAAGGCAATACAAGGAAGTGTAAGTAAATAAGGATCAGTAAGTTGGTAGTAATATCCAACAGGGTCCCAAAATGGAACCGGTGAAGAAGAATCCGGCTATCAACCTTAACATAAGAGAAGAAATTACAAACAGAAGATGCAGCAAAACACCAAGGGAGAAAAGGAGCAAAAATTTCCAACAATCAAATCTCATATCTCTCTATGATTTAATAAACCAGCCGGATTCTTCTTCGCCGGATAAGCCATTGCTAATCCATCAATTAATAGATGTTTAGTTTATTTCATACCAACTCCTCGTGCCCTTCGGAAGGGCATCTGATCAGCTCCAATATGTTAATTACCTCAGCCATGTCTGGCCGGTTTGAAGGCACCTGTGACGTGCAGATTAAGCCTAACTTAATGACCGGTATCACCTCCTCAGCTGGAAATTTTCCCTGCAGCTTTCCATCGACACATTCCTCTACGCTGCCCTCTTCCAGTGCTTCTCTGACCATGTCACAGAGAACCACCACATCATCCTCCATGTACTCAACAGGCTTCCTTCCTGTAACAATCTCGAGAACCAAGACCCCAAAACCATAAACATCACATTTCTCAGTTATCTTTACAGTTCTGCATGCAAATTCAGGTGCCATGTAGCCAAGTGCACTCTGAATCTTGCTACTTAAAACATAACGATCAAGCATTGGCAACAACTTCGCTAAGCCAAAATCTGCAACTTTAGGTGCACCTGAACTGTCAATCAGAATATTGCTTGATTTTAGATTGTAGTGGATTATGTTCATTTGATGCAAGTGAGTCAAACCTTTAGCTGTCCCAAGAATAATATTAAACCTCTCATTCCATGGTAGGGAGTTACCACCAGATCCTTCATGGAGACGCTTATGCAAGTTTCCACCGGACACAAATTCACATATGAGGAGCTGTAGTGAAGAAGTCCAGTAATACCCTTTGAGTGCCACAAGATTATGATGTCGAATTTTTCCTAATTTCTTAACTTCCTTTTCGAAATCATCTTGGGACTTGACAAGACTTGAAACAGTGAGTTTCTTGATGGCAACAGGATGTCCATCTCTAAGAACTGTCCGGTAAACTGCTCCAAATCCTCCACGCCCAAGCTCACAATCCTTGTTAAGCAGAGCATGTGTTCCCGTGCTGAAGTCATGTTCGCCAGAGAACATCACGAGCTTGCCAGAGTTGCCATCTGTAGTGGAGGAATGACTAAAGTCATCGCCACCAGATAGTGTAAGAGCTACTGCAGAGTGGGATGTGGAAGACTGCACACGGAGATTGAGGACAGTGATGGCAATCACACCAATGACAATTAAGGCGGCAGCACCAATAGCAATGAGGGCGGATATGCTGAGGATTTTTTTCTCATGGCCATGACTTTGGGGGATGGAGTCTGGAGTAGAATCGGAGGAGTTAGGATTAAGGACAATTGGTTTGGGAAGAACAATAGGGCAAGTCTTCTTTACTATAGCGCCACAAAGGAATGGATTGCCTGAGACAGAGTAGGGAGAAATGGTGTTGAAGAAACCACCAGCTGGAAGTTCACCCTGTAGCTGGTTATGCGAAATGTTAAAGGATAGGAGGTGGACAAGATTTGCCAACTGCTTTGGTAAGGTCCCAATGAGTTTGTTATAAGACAAGTCTACATTTTGAAGGTAGGTAAGTTTTGCAAAGGCTGCCGGAATTGGGCCAGTTAGGTTGTTCCATGACAAAATCCTGCAAAAATTAATGAAATTATTCCATTCAAAGACTGACTGGTGATAAGTAACAAAGAAACTGAGACTTGTCCAAATTTAAGCACCAACCAAATGTCCACAAGTAACATATGCCTACCCTTTTTTTAATGAAACATTAGGTAATTTTAAGATATAGACTAATTTTAGAATATTAGAAACAACTCGGTGCAAATTAGATAAACAATCAATGACGGCTAATTGCTATAGGGCAAAAGGCAATTTTTCCCATCAGAAAATTCAATGCACTGCTATAGTTCTTCTTTACAAGTGTAAACCCTAAATAAATCAACTAAACCCAATTTACATATCAAAAATTGCAGTGTTGATTGTAACAGCATTGTGTAAAGGCATCACAGTTGACAGTAGTACAGTTCTTCCAGCTAAGCGGTCAATGACAATGGCATTCAGTGGAAAATGTGCATAAGCAACAAGAGAGGCTACTACTAAATGGTCAGACTAAGCCCAAACTTTTGATTACTGAAACACGGCATCTCATCTGGAGATTACCACACAAAAGAAGATAGAAGAATCAAAAAGCATAATTCAAGCATAAAACTGGGCAAAAAGGGACTTACAGAGATGTCAATGAAGAACACTTCTCAATTGAAGTTGGAATTTGCCCAACGAAGGAGTTCTTGTCTAGTCTCAATTCCTTCAGAGATGCAGCTCCTGCAATTTCTGAAGGAATGCTCTCGTTTAACCTATTCAAACTCAAATCCAGAATATTCAAGGCCTTCAATTCTCGAATACTTGCTGGGATACCACCTGTGAGCAAATTCCTAGACAAATTCAAGAACTGTAAGGTGCTAAAATCCCCAACAGCAGATGGAATTTCACCAGATAGTGCATTGTGGGATATATCCAAAACTTGAAGCTTTTTGCGCGAGTTTTCATTTGATGAAGCAAAAGGACTCTCCAATCCACCACTTAATCTGTTCTCTGAAAATATTACTTGCTGTAAACCCAATTTAAAGAGTGAAGAAGGAAGATTACCAGTCAACAAATTCCTACTAACATCTAAAGCTAGTAGATTCATACAATTCATTATAGATTCCGGCAAGCTTCCAGTGAAGGCATTCATTGAAATGTTTAGTACCTGCAAGGACTGAAGCCTCCCAATTGAATTTGGAAAATGGCCAGAGAAGCTATTTTCAGATAGATCCAGAGTCTGAAGACTTCTCATTTCTCCTATCCATTCTGGAACATCACCCGTAAACTCATTTTTTTGCAAATTTAGGTAATTACACAATGCAAGCTTCTGCAGGGTGTTGGGAAGACTTCCAGAAAGCAAATTCTCACTCAAATCAATTGACCTCAATAGCAAACAACCTTCGATTCCATTTGGAACCTGACCCGTAAACTGATTCTTCCGCAAGTTTATTGCTCTCAAATTATTCAAACCTTCAATGCCCTCAGGAATCTCTCCCTCTAGCAAATTATCCGACAAATCAAGCGATCTNTTCCATTCGGAACCTGACCCGTAAACTGATTCTTCCGCAAGTTTATTGCTCTCAAATTATTCAAACTTTCAATGCCCTCAGGAATCTCTCCCTCTAGCAAATTATCCGACAAATCAAGCGATCTAAGACCACTCAAAGACCAGATCCCAGCAGGTAAGAAACCCGAAAACTGATTGGAGGAAAAGTTAACTGAAGCAAGAGTTGCACATGAGCTCAAACTCTCCGGAATGTGGCCTGAAAACTTGTTATTGGCCAACGATATCGACCTTAAAGACCCACATTGTCTATAAAAATCACCAGGGATAGGTCCAGATAGATTGTTCTCACTCAAGTCAATAACCCTCAGGTTTGTGAGTTGCACAAGACTGAGGCTTAAGCTTCCTGTAAGATTGTTCTTCGCGAGGGAGAGCTTTTGGAGAAACTGCAATCGGAGGAGACCTCGGCCCATTTTTCCAGAGAGTGAGAACCCATCGAGGACAAGTTCGACGACCCTGTTGGATCTAGGGTTGCATTTGACCCCAACCCATTTACAGGGAGTATCATCATCTTCAGTCCAAGACACTAATTTTCCACCTGGATCTTGAATGTCAACTTTGAACACAATCAATCCCAGAACATCATCATTCAAAGAAGGATTCAAAGATCTCGCAAATATCGGAGATAAGAAAAACAAAGCTAAAACAACGAATAGCCTTTTCATTTCCAATCCTCAAATCAAAATGCCCTTCTTATGCTTCCATAGAAATACAACCCAGTAATGCAAAACAAAATAGAACTGATGAACAGAGCCTTTTGTGGAGAGAGAGAGAGAAAGAAGGAAGAGAGCTTTGTGGCAGTGTTTTAGCAAAAGAAATCAATATGCTGTTTGGTTTGGCAACAAACTCGAGTAAGAGATACACATCCAACTCCAAATACAGCTGAACCGAACTAGTCTAAAGAGAAAACCAATCAACTTCAACAGAGTTGATGGAATGACCGACCTTCAACTCTATTCAGCTCTCCAGTGCATAACTTCACTGTATAGAGCCGTCTAGAAACTGCAAAACACATACATACATGTGTACATCGCCTTTGGCTCTAACGGCTAGAATTTGCGACTGCCACAGAAAATGGAACAAAGTCACAGAAGAAAACAACAAAGAAACATAACAAAACAGGCACAACATCTATCAAAACCCTAATAATTTATCAAAAAATGGAAAAATAAAATAAAATAAAATAAAGCGGAGCCAAAGTACGAGTCTTTGCAAGGTTAAGTTTTAAGAAACCATACATAATTCTTCAAAACGGCCGATTTAAACCCCGCGCCGCCTCACAGAGTCGAAGAAACTACACAAAACGAATAGCGGAAGCGGTTAGATCTCGTAAACAACAAAATGTGAGCTCGGCACTCGCCGGGAACACAAATCTCCGGCGCCGGAGAAGATAGCTAGGGTTTCACGGCGGAGTTACCAGCAAAGTATCCGGGAAAAAAAATGGGGAGAGCAGATTTCGCCGGCCGTCAGTCAGTGAAGCATTTAATGCCTCTCTCTCTCTCACTCTCTGACTCTCTCACTCTCTCTCTCTCTCTCTGTGGCTTTTTCTGCGTCAGAGACTAAGACGGAGGAAAAATGCTGTCTAATGGGATGACTTTATATNGTCTCTCTCTCACTCTCTCTCTCTCTCTCTCTGTGGCTTTTTCTGCGTCAGAGACTAAGACGGAGGAGAAATGCTGTCTAATGGGATGACTTTATATTAACGGCGAAAGAGGAATGGTTAATCGCATTCTATACCCTAAAAATTGCTTTAATTTTCGATTTGTACCCTATAAGATTTTAATTTTCAAAATACACTCTCGATGTAATAAAATAGATGCAACGTCATGCTGTTTCAAACATCCGTACACTTTTTCGATTTTAAAACACAATGTGGAGGCAACCATCATCACATGAAAAATCGAACGAATGTTTGGGGTTGGACTGCATTGCATCTATTAAATGAAATTGAAGGTACAATTTCAGAATTAGAATTTTTTTGGGGCAAAAATTAAGAATGAAATAATTTTTTAAGGTACAAAGTGTGATTAGTCCAAATTGAAATAGGTTGGACACGTGTCAGGATGTAATTGGTGAAGGGAAGTCTGATGTGGCATACACGTAATATTAACAGAGTTGCTTTTGACGTGGATGGCACAAGTGGCAGTGTTTAGGCTTTGAGTGGAGAGGAGTTTTGGCATATACCCTCTGTCTTTGGATAAAATTACTGTTGTGCCATTGTGGCTAACAGGTTTATGTCCGAATCTGCTTCCCATAATTAATGAAATCGTAAAATTAGTTGTTTTTATTCGTGTATACATATTTTTGTGTCCGAATGGTTAACAACTCACAACCTAGCAGGAGAGAGAGAGAGAGAGAGAGAGAGAGTGTTTTTTTGTTTTGAAGATCATCCAAATTGGATTTTAAGCAATGTTTTATGCCAACTATCTGTTCAGAAAGAGCTCTTTATTATGTTAGGATCAAGACATCTTAATTTAGAGTTTATCGCAATTACTATTTGAGTTATTTTGGTGTTAGAGTAATTTCAAAAAGATTTGTCATTTTGAGATGTCAAAACATCTATTTGTAATCTTGAAAAGTGTTTTGGTATCTCTAAATTATAAATCTGTTCTAATAACAGGTGCTAAAATAGGGTGTTATTTTCATATTTTTATTTATCAATCTACATGAATCGTTGGATCTATATTCATCGTTGGATCATACAATAATTTTAAAGATCTATATTCATTAATTCATTTGCAATCTCTCTCTTTCTCTCTCCAGAGTGGCCAAAAATGTCACTCCAAGAGTCTTAATGTCATATTACAACCCTCAATGTCACCTCCCTTGAAATAGAGAATTTTGAATTTGGAGTGCATTGCCACCCCCCTAGAGTTGCTATTATGTGAGTTTTTTTCAACGATGACTTGGTTGAGTCTTCTTGCTTAAATCTTCTACAGTAATCTATGTAGATGGCCCCATTAGTGTCTGTGTATTTATGACTATCAAAGCACAATGGGGAATGGCCCTTCCAGGTGAATATGAACAAGCACAAGGTTAATCTGAGAAAGTGACTTGGGTGGATAAAGAGATGGAAAAAAAAAAAGTAATAAAGGAAAGTTGGTGGAGGAATAGAGATGATGGTTGTTGGTGTAATAAAGACAGGAGTGATTGCTGGTGTGGTGCAGACTGTAGGGTTGGTGTAATAAAGGAACTGGACTTTTTTGCTTTAGAAGCTTTTCTTTTCTTAAATTGATCCATCCATGAGAAACTAATGGTGTCCCCTCCTGTCTTCTCCACTCACATTTTTCTGTTGTTCATTTTATTTACTCCATTAATTTTTTTTCTTCTCACCGAATTGCGTAGCTACGTTGATTTTCGATATTAATTTTGGTTTGAATGATTTATAATAAAAAAATAATAATAAATTAATATATGTGTTTTGTTTTTATTTGATAAAAAGTGAAGATATGAGATCCACTCGGTAAAATAGTTTAAGATTTTTATTTTTTACTAAATCAAAATTGATATTAAAGGTAAAAGAGTACAAAATATAGAAAGCGATTCGTGGTAATTCTCAATCTAGTCAAAAAATAAAAATCATAAGGTTAGCAAAGAAAAATAAAAAAATTCATCCCACGATTTATATCAATTTATTTTCTTTTTAATTTTTTTGTTTTGATTTAATAATTAGGGGTATCTGAATCAGCTTACGCGCACTTCGATTAATCTTCTATCTGATCTGATCAAAAACAGGTCATATACGTCCAAATTAAGATATTTATTGTGACTTAACTCTAAAAAATTATTAAAATTTAAATTTAAAATATCTAAATTTATAATTAATTTCTAATACCGCTTAAACTTCCCAACATCTTTATCAGTCTACCCATCAGGTTATCAATCTACTCCCATTGCCTTCAATCATTTGTGTTTTCTAATGACGAGACTTGCGGAAGGTGTATGTTCCCATCATGTTTTGTCAGTTTTAGCTTCTTTGAGGATGCAAATACTAAAGCGTTCTATACACGACTTGATTAATTAGATGATAACCTAATATTTTGTGGTATAATATAACCAACTATTATCCTAAAAAATTATAATGATTTTTTTTTAATTCAACAGTCAAGAATATTTATATCAGTTTATGAGTATTTCGATTAATCTCTTTCTCAATCCGATTAAAAACATATTATCTACGAGCGGAATTAAGATATTCACGAAAGATAAATTTTTCATAATTTAACCTCCAAAAAATTGTCAATTCTCAAATTTAAAACGTTTAATTTTACAATTTATCTCTGTTATCGCTGAGCTATTCATCGAGGGTTGACACAATATAGACATATATTAATGATTTATTATTTAAGTATGTAACACAAATATTTATAAGATAAGGTATCAAATTTAACTGTCAACTCAATGTCATGACCATGTTGAGAAAACCACATTGAAATTGTTAAAGCAATAGAATTCTAAACTCCACGACAAATAATGAATATTGTAAAATAATAAATTAAACTACCAATTTAAAACCATACGACACAATACAAAATTGAGCAATTATTAGGCGTGACTATTTTTGATAATTTTTAATTTGTCGAGCTTGTTGAAATCCTAGTGTTTTAAGTATTTATTGAATTGCAATTACCAAAATAGAGTTGAAGCTTGAGTCCCGTCGAATTAAAGTTTCAATTTGGAATCAATTATGGGTGGTTGTGAGTGATTTAGATACGTACTTCTTAGGTGATGAAATAAAAAACTTATGTCGTTTCAAAGATTTTCGGATCTTATTTTCTACTTTGACTTCTTAAAGCTAATCAAATACAAAGTAAACAGGTCATTTTTTCTCCTAAAATCATGATCGCTAATGCTGTATAACTCAAATTTGTGTCCATTTCATATTGAAAAAGAATAATGTTGTATAACCCAAATTTGTATTCTAAATGAAGAAGAGCATTAGATCAGTTGTGTTGTATTTTAAAAAGTTGATGGGATCCACTTATTCAATAATCCCTTTTCATTTAGAATATAAATTTGAGTTACATAATATTTTTCTAGTAAAATATCGATGGACGATCGGCGTATCGTCGATTCTGACTCCTCTATTATTAATTATTAGAATTAACAAAAACGACATCAACTTACACAAAACGATGTCATTTTTGCCTAATAACACCTCTGCTTTGCATCAAAGAATCCGCGGCTCGTATTTGTCTTTAAAACAGGGGATGCTATTGTAATTTACCTAAAAAAAAAAGAACTAAAAACAATTCGACCAAGATGATGCCAAAAGTCAAACGTCGTGATTCTACCGCTAACGGAGTCAAAGACAAAGTAGAACATAATAACAAACGCCTAAAGACAAAAGCGAGAGTGCCGTTAGGTCTATTTTCTGGCGAATTTCAAAGTGGTGTACAGAAATTTCCCGCCAATGGCCATGTGAGGTCAATTTGCCAGGACTAATGGGCTGTTCTGCTTCATTCTTCTCTTCTCCCCATGCAAGTGATTTTTTTTTATATTATATCAAAAATTATATAATTTTTATAATAAAGTTACACATTTAAAAATAGAAATTAGCTTAAGAAAATGTCAAATGTCCATGATTTATCATGAATTTTCTAAACTATAATTTTTAGTAGCGAACAACTGACGGTACCATGACCTATCCCTTTTTTTTCATTTATGGGAAATCACTACAATATTGAAATTTTATTTTTTGGAATTAAATTTTTATTTTTTGATACTGTACCAAAAAATAGAAAAAACTCAAAAAGTAATAAGCTGTATTTCAAAAATGATAAACTTTTATCAAGTGATAAGTTAATCTAAAAAATATAAGTGGCACTATTTTAAAACTTACTAAAGTTTGGGTTGCACTCATTTTTTTTGGATCAAGTAGTATAAATACCCAAAAAATAAAAAGTAAATATCATAATTGGTCCCTAAACGTTGACTTTGATTTCAATTTAGTCCTTCAATTATCAAGCTCGTTTCAACTAAGTCCTTTCATCTGTTTCTACCACTAGATCAATCAGAGAGAGATTAGCTCTGATCCATTTCCAATGTTAAATCTTATGTTTTTCATTTTGGTATAATGTGAAAAATGCAAAACAAAATTAATTGAAATAAAATTGATAATTGATATTAAAAACAAAATTTAAGAATCAAGTAAGTTATTTATAGGGAGTGGTGCGGTTGAAAACGAATCCAAACGGTAAAATGACACAGAGATTTTGTTTTGTTATTGTTGCATTGTTCGGCAACCGTATCACAGAGGGTCCACTGTTCCCCCAACTTGGATTTAGGATACTATCACTATTTGGTCCCATGTCAGAATTCTTGTCTCTCTCCATGGATTGTATAGAATTGATCAAATTAAAAGGAATAATTAGTCAAGTTGTGCGTAAATTGATCTGAATGTCTTTGACATTTGAACCAAAAAAAAATAAAATTGGATCTACAAATGAAGATACGAAATTGATACGAAATTCACGACTAATAACGAATAACATAAACATGATTTACTTAGAATCGATATGAGTTCAACAAGTCACAACTTACACATAACACAACACGATTCTTTCCATATTTGTCAAGGGTCATTGCCCTTCAACACAACATAGTTATTGGCAGGAGATCTCATCGTACCTATATTGGGGCTAAAGTTAAGTTGTCACTGTGTATTCTGAGCGTTAAAGAGTAAATTTAACTCTACTAAACTACTATAGCTATGGAGACTCAAACCTATTTATTGAGTGAGAAAATTTGAGTTTTTATCCACTAAACGAACTGTTTGATGGTATTTACATCTATTACTGTTGACTTTGTTGTACGTAAACATTAGGGACCAAATTAGTATAGCTGATAGTTACGGAGCTAAATAACATTTACCTCATAGTTTAGGGATCGTATCTGTATTTAGTTCAAAAATAAATCTACTAACCAGAGAGAGTGGTTTGAGTCGGGCATTCAAAGCTTCTGTTCAGTGACTCAGTCCGATGAATGAGCCCAACTCCAAGTCCAAGCTCAACTTGAGATGTGGACCATTAACCATCCGATTTTGTGGGCCGAGTTTGGGCTATTTGGATTTCACAAATAAAGTAATTAATTATTTTCATCCAATAACCATGGCAATCAAAGTATAGGGGTACAAATCCTAATTCTTTTGTTTCAACCGAGGTGATAGTTTAGCTGGTTTCAGCAGCCAGGATAAGACCCTCGCTCTTTTCTCAATGGCCACGAATTCGAACTCGCTTATAATGCTAGTGGTGTGAACTAGATGTTGTGTTGAGAGGGGATTGAATGTTTGCTTGCGTATTGATGGTGGCTATAAATCTATGATCATCAGTTCGACTCTTTTCAGATTAGTGGTTATAGTTTAAATCAAACTCTGCAAAAAGTAAAAACCCCTTTGATCACGTGCCAGGAGGGGGTTGTCATGCAGGTCACCCCAACCCACCTTTTCAACCAAAATAAAAAAATAAAAATTGCAATATACTTTTTTTGCTGTTTTCAATTGGTACTTTTTATAATTTGTGCAAACCAAATTCATGGCATTGGAGTTATTTGATGTAAGAATAATTGTTGTTTAAAAAAGACTCGGACAAAAATTTATTGAGTTGAGTTAAATTAATGGATAATTACCTTTTAAAAATATGCAGAAAAAGAAATTGAGAATTATTCAAACAAATGTGTAACAAAATTGAAGTGTGAATAATTAAGAATTTGAATTTTTTCCACAGTTATATGGAATATATTTTATGGATGTAGAAAACATATTTGGGGATTAATTGTAATTTCGGGAGATATTTAGAAATAACTCACAAATTTTTTAGTAAGAGAGTGTTGTTGGTCAGTCGTTTATTTTCCAAAAAAAAAGAGGGTATAATAGTAAAAAAAAAAGGGTATAATAGTAAAAAAAAGGTTTGTAACCTGAGAAAATAAAATGAGATATAAAAGTAGAGTTAAACTATCAATATCCCGACGTTTGGAAATAATAGAATAAGCGATGTCTTTCTAATAAGACGACAATTTCGCCATTTTTCTGACTTAGTGAATGAATGGAGGAAGGAATGCACTTCCAAAAAGAATTGCTTTTTTCATGTCAATTCATCCCCTAAATTATATTTTATATCAATTTAATCTCTCAATTATGTAATGTGTCTTGACGTGATCTTTCCATTAAAATTTGCCTTAATTTTGACAAAAAGCCTCACGTGCAAGTAATGTGAGTCAAAGATTAAGGGTAATAAAGACCATACACATACACATCACGTGTAGAACTGATAATCAAATTGAGATATTCGAGTTAGACACAAGTTTAATTTGTTTTAGAATTGATTTGGACTTAACTTATTTTTTAATAAAATGAGTCGAGTTTAAATAATTTTTTTAATTTATTTAAAAAAAGAACTTGCAAATCTTGAACTGGCTCGATTATCAGCTCTAGTCACGAGACTTGCCATTAACTCGGATGAGGGCTATATTGATATAAAAATTGAACTAGGATCCAAATTGACACACATGAAATAGTATAGGGGTAGTGTTGGTAGTTAACTATGTAAAAGATACGGGGCACAATTAAGAAATATAGAAAAGTTTTGGGACACATTCACGCCAGTTAGGGCTTCGATTTCCAGCAATCGCTCTAGAGCCGCAGCGAAGTCTAAGGCAGTGTAGAAGAAGAAGAAGAAGCAATCGAAAGAATAAGAATGAAGTCTTTTAGGGCTTTGGTACCCAGGTACCTCTCTCTCTCGCTTATCTGTTTTGAAATAATGTTTTAGACTGTTTCGGATAACAAACCCAAGCATAGATTGCAGGTGGCGTTGAAGTCTGGTTGTGTGAGAAAATATGCTACTGATGCTAATTATGTGAGCAAGGACACACTTGGAGCAGCAGCTGGTTTGTAAATCCTTATATCTCTGATTTGATGATTAGAAGTATTCTTGCATTCTTTTGTTCGTCATTAGTTCATTCATAGGATTTCTCTAAATCTTCAATGAAAATGTTGCCAAATTTTCGTATGGCAATAACATGGGTAGTACGAGGGATACTGAGCCTCAGCCAATTGTCATTGGAGACTAATTTGCTATAATTCTCACCTAATCTTTGGTATTATTTATTTGCACATGTATAAATTGGTTATTGTGTGGCGGGTTTTCGAATGGCTTTTTCATTGCTTCTGTGTTGCTGAGTGTTATAATTGAAGTCTTTCTC